AAAAAAAAAAAAAAAAGAAACAAGGCTGGCCCATGGGGAGACAAACAGCTGCCTCGCTTGTCTCCTCTGATGAGGACATAAGGTCATGTGTGTGAAGGGTTTTGGAAGCTATTAAGTGCTCACTAAATATCAAAGATTTTACTTATTTTTGTTTGTTTGTTTTTTGAGACAGGGTTTCACTATGTTGGCCAGGCTGGTCTGGAATTCTTGACCTCGTGATCTGCCCGCCTCAGCCTCCCAAAGTGCTGGGATTACAGGCATGAGCCACCACACCCAGCTGATTTTACTTTTTTATTAGGCCGCATGTGCAGGGAGGTATCTAAGCTGCAATACATTATTTGCCACTTGTTTTTAAACATTCTCATATTCCTGTTCTCATTCATAGCCATGTGATCATTAACGCGAGGAAACGGTTAATGGTGAAATGGTTATTGGTGAAACCTCATCTCGACTAAAAATACACAAATTAGCAGGGAGTAGTGGCGGGCACCTGTAATCCCAGCTATTTGGGAGGCTGAAGCACAAGAATTGCATGCATCTGGGAGGTGGAGGTTGCAGTGAACGGAGATCATGCCATTGCACTCCAGCCTGGGCCACAGAGTGAGATTCTGTCAAAAGAAAAGTAGAACAGTGAACAGTGATAGCCAGGGAATAGTGGATGGGGGTGTGGGTGGGGAAATGATCAAAGGCCCAAACTTTCGGTTATAGAATAAACAATTTCTGGGGATCTAATGTACAGCATGGGGTCTGGTGGGTGTGTTCATTAATTTGTGGTAACCATTACATAGTATGTACTTAAATCATCACCTTGTGCACCCTGAATACATACAGTCTTGATTTGTCAGTTAAATATCTAGAAAAATAAGTGCCGGTGGTAGGGATGGGTTGGGTAAAGACAGGTTCGGTGGAGTTTTCCCTTCCCCTCCCGTCCCTCTTTCACTGTCATCTCCAGCTGTCCCCACCCTTCTCCCATTTCTGTGAATGCGAAAGAGGAAGGCTTCAGGTTCTGCCTTTATGAAAGCCAGTGTCAGGAAGCCAGGGGTCTGCCTCCCCTCGGTGAGGACCGTGTGATCTTGAGCTAGTCCCACACTTCCGAGTTTTGGTTTCTTCACCTCTCAGCAATAACCATTTCCTCAGGTTAATGACCACATGGATATTTAATATGAGAATGTTTAAAAACAGGTGGAAAGGGAAAATAATGTATTGCAGCTTAGATACGTCCCCCGGCGTTTGACCTAATAAAAAAGTAAAATCTTTGATATTAGTAAGCACTTAATAGCTTCCAAAACACCTTCACATACATGATCTTATGTCCTCATCAGAGGAGCCAAGCGAGGCGGCTGTTTGTCTCCCCGTTTTGTAGATGAGACTGAGGCTCTGGTTCCAGTAACTCCCAGTGGCCCTGTAGGAGGAGGCCATAGCTTGATCGTAGGGCAGCCCAACAGGGTTCCTCCTGGCGTCTGGGCAGTACCCCAGCCTTTGGGACCCTTGCAGGGTTGGAGGCCCCTACATAGGAAGCAGAGGGACAGGAGGCTCAGTACCCAGTCTGCTCGGGACTGGGTGAATAGGACACAGGTGAGACTTGCTAAGAACTGACAGAACCAGCTCTTCCTTCCTTTCCATCCTCAGGGGAAACGGTGTGCTGCTGGAGGGAGAGCTGATAGATGTGTCTCGGCATAGCATCTTGGATGCCCATGGCAGGAAGGTGAGGATGCCTCTTTGGTGCTAGCTAGGGGGCACTGACTTCACTGTTGTCACCCGTTGTGGCCTCTCCTTGTGCCCAACTCCAGTGCCATGACTTGGGATCTAGCTCGTTTCTTGATGGGCTTAGAAAGCAAGTAGGAAGTAGGTCAGGAGATTGACAGCCACATGGGACCACCAGCTGGAAGGAGAATGGTTTAAGGCTGCGTTGGGCAGCAGACAGGTGGGAGGGTCTGTGTTCTTGCCAGGAGAGCCTGGCTCATGGCTGAGAAGGTAGACCAGGCCCTCAACCCCGATCTCACCTGATTGTAACCTCTGGCACTGTCTGGGCGTCCATTCCCATGTTGATGTCCTGGCCTCCTGGATCCTGCCCTGTATTGCCACCCCATCTCAGGTGTCTTTGGGTACATCTGTCATTCACCATCCGGTACTAGCCTGTGTCTTTTTTCTGAGCACTAGTTCTGACTTTCCACTCCTCTTTGAAAAAGCCCCACCTAGATGTGCTGACCACCTTATCTCCTTGGTCTCTATAAGTGACCTTGGTCTCTAAAAATGCCCTCTCCAATAGACCAGGGGCTGGTGCTACATGGAGCCTGCGTGTCCCTCCTGTACCCTACAGGAGCAGCCTCGGCCCCCAGCTCAGCACTGTTTTGATGTCAGGAGGTATTTTGCTGCACCTCCCCTCCTTAGCACACAGTCAGCAGGTGGGAACACCCATCAGAGCCCTGAGCCAGCCTGCCTGGGAGAGCCCAGCCGTGTCCCCATGCTGATGTGGCGCTCGCTTGCCTCTGCTGCCCTCAGGCAGGCCCTGTTCCCAACCCCTCTTCAAACTTGCCTCCCTGAGTTCCATTCCTGGTGATGGCGCACTTGCCCTCCCAGCCGCCAGGCTGCGAACCCTCACTGTCTCCTCCCCAGGTAAGCAGTGCCAGGTCCTGCCGGGCTCCTCCCCTTCCTTTCTTCCTCTCCCCGCCTTCCCTTCCTCCGTCCATGGTGGCTCACCTTAGAGGGGCCCTCAACCTGTCCTGATGACACCTTTCTCCTGTCCCCCTGCTTTCTGGCTGTCCCCAGAGCTCATCCCTGCCCTGTTGCTAACAGGACAAATGTCTTTCTAGAACGACATCTCTGAGGGTCTCGCTGCTGCTCAGAAACCTTTCAGGATTCCTTGTCCACTAGATAAAATCCAAACTCCAAATGCCAGCTCAAGGCCCGTCCCGAACCGAGCCCACTTGCTTTCCCAGCCTGGGTTCTCAGAAGGCCTCTGAATACCCTGCGTGGCTCAAACATGCACAGGGAACTCTTGACTTTTATTTTGTATACTGTCCCAGGCTTTTAATATTCTTCCTGGCCGGGCGCGGTGGCTCAAGCCTGTAATCCTAGCACTTTGGGAGGCCGAGGCGGGTGGATCACGAGGTCAAGAGATCAAGACCATCCTGGTCAACATGGTGAAACCCCATCTCTACTAAAAATACAAAACATTAGCTGGGCATGGTGGC